CCCTGGAGCAGCCGGCGGGTGTGAAGCCGCCACAGGCTTCTTTAAGTATTTACCAGTTGTCCTGCAGGGACCGGCACAGACTCAGCAGGATCAAATGAACCGAGCTTTTGAACAACCTACTTTTTTCTAAGCAGTGACTTCATTATACAATATAAACTGAATATAGGTTGTTTCAACTTTTTTCCCTCAGTTTCTACTAGTTTTCCAGTTCATGGTGGAAAGTGATGGAGCAGGTGTCATCAGGAGCATGCATACAAACCTGCACTTACGGGGGACTTAGCAGGAGCCCAGATCATTACAGATGGGACTTTTAGAAAGCTACTGACCATAAACTTTTCCCATATTTGTTTCAAGAAAATATGACCATAGTAGACACTGTATTACTGAAATAGTATTATCAATTTATGTATTATCAATTACTTGTTCTTGGGTCTATTATACATATTTAGAAAACTAAAATTAAGTCAAGTTCTGTCCATCTTCATGTGGTCTTTAATGTCAGTGTATTGCACAGACAATGAGGATGCTAATCATGTGGCCACTGAATATTATCACTCCATTAGCTCCCCGCAGACCACTTAGACAACTGGTAAAGATTCTGCATGGGCTTTTTTAATGTGTCTGAAAATGAAAAGGGACCTTTAGCAGGGGGGGCCCAATTTAGATTCCAGTTGAACTGTGTTACGTTCAAGATGGTCACGCAAGAATAAGACGTTTCAAAAACTGCGTTTAGCCTATGCTCTCAGGTGTTACCGCTGAGACTCTGTCAGCCCTGTCATTATAAAATGACGCCCAGAAACCAAATCTTCTTGTAACTGGGGCCAACCGTATCGTGCTTACAGTTACTTATTCCTATTTATTCCACTTTGATTCCAGCAAAAGAGACCAGCAGAGGGCTGCCTTCTTTTAAAATACTCTAATGGGAGAAAATGAGGTGGATTAATGAAACATTAAGTAAGGAAAAGTTTAGGTAACTCGAGAAAATGGCAGAGTGGGAGGTATAGAAAAATACGTTAAAGGTAGTCAGCTGGATTAAAACTGTTTTATGCCAGTTTTTGGACATATTACAAAATATTTTTGCAATAACTCAAAGAAACATTTATACATGCTTGGCCAAGTTCAAACTTGATGTGAATAGCTGGAACACTGCAGAAAGGATGCCTAATAACACTGGAGTTTAAGTTCAACTTATAATACAATTTAAAAGTCTTCACATTCCACTTATAGTACATTCCTATTTACAAGACAGGTTGGGGACGAGAAGCATAATCGTCTTTTTACAAATAATACGACAACTATTTACAAGCATTTATGGTATCTCCACTTCTGAGTGGCCAAAGTCAGCTGGGAGTCCCTCCTCTGCCAACGATAAACCTGGTTTACTAAAATGATGCCCTCTTCAATATTCCCCACAAGGAGATACACCATGGGACGATGGGTCAGAGTCATCTTCTGCGTACAGTTTTCATTGATAAGCAGCCACTGTTGTATCATACTCTGAGTTTCATAAGGCAAGAGTGAGCCCTGGGTAATGAATTCCACTTGGCATTCAATGTTATACTCTTGGTCACCAAATACTGTTCTCTTTTTGGACAGCTTTACTTTCACTGCTAAGGAAAAAAAAGGAAACATCTAAGTCACTCTATTTACTCAAATGCAGAAAGAACACTACCAATGAAAGCAGGATGATTCCTTAAAAATACTATCATAATTTATGCTGATAGAGTACGGCAAGGTCTTCTCTGGCAGCAGTATACATTTTAAAATATTTTTTAAAAATAAAGGTTATGTAGTATCGAATTTTTTCGTAGAGTAGCAGAGAATTTTTTCACAAAGGTGAATAATGTATTTTTACCATCACCATGTAGGTTAGACTTTATGGATAATTAGATATTGTAAGCTGTTGGCATTGTTCTATATCACGCCGCCGCCCAGGCTTGCCCAAGCAATTCTCCTGAAACTCACTTTGTCCATGTTATGAACCCCTCAGCAAAAATAGCTAGTAATGCTTGCTAATGCCACCCTTTTAGATATCCCCTTTTCATTATAGGCATCTACCTACCCCACTTGACTCCACCAACATTTTTTAGCACTAAATTTCTCTATACCTCCTGATCTAAAGCCAGCCAAAGTCGCTGAGAGTGTACACTGACTTCAAAGGGCTTTTCAGGATGTTTCTAGGGCAAACTCAAAACTATTGCTTGTCACTCCAATAAGACAACACAAGGTAAGAATTTCTTTTACTGATATGATTTTCTGAGTCTCCTTTTCAGTAAGCTATGTATCGTGAACAACTCATGCACACAAGTAACAAAGACACGCTGTACACTGGTGAAGCAACCAAAGTTTTACTTTGGGTTTAACCACTAATAAAAGGCAAACCTGCTTATTTGGCTGCTTTTCCCTGAAATATTTTCCATAAAGTGTGTTGTACTGCAATGTAGCCAACCAGACAAGAACAGAAGAGCTATTTGGTTGTAAAATAGATCATTAATAAATCTTCCATACAAAATAAATCCTCCTTATATTTTGATTAGAAATGAACATATTCTGATAAACAACCTAAAGTTAAGTCATCAGCCAAACTCTTAGGATTAAGACTTTGAAATCCCAGCAGAAACTGTCAGTTATTTTAATCCTAATTTTAAAGCATTTTAGAAGGAGAGCTGTTAGTCTCTTTAATAGCAGTCATATTAGCGAGGACTTACCAAAGTTATTGTCACAGAAAACTTCGAGAACTCTTTTGTGCGTAAAGAATTCCTCCACTGCTGGACAGGCCTGGCAGGCAGGCTTTGGTAGGACTGGTAAGAAATGACAAAGTTTCATCGTTATCTTTTAGAATCTTTTGTATTAACTTTCTGCTGTCAAAGCTGAGAGCCCACTGTTTAACCACAGGGATGACAGAGAAAATACACGATTGGTCAGTGATAACGTAAAAGTCTACACACTTCTCTGAAAACATGGCTAGGGATGAAAAGGAGTTCCATTTTCCATGCCCATTCAGTCCTTGTTCAGACTGACAGCTCAATTATCAGCATCAAATACAGCAACAAATACAGTTTTGTTTTTACTATGGCTAAGGTGGGTGGGGAAGGGGTTAGGTGGATGGTTCTATCAGTGATCCTGCATTCAGCTGAGCTAGGACTGTGAATATATGAATTCGGGTGTGCCATTTGTCTGTGATAAGGGCCATTGATAAGTCTATAAAGAGACCTCAAAATAAATCAAATACAGTGTGCTGTCGTGGGTATGATACTGTCCATAGCTGTGTGCATGGTGATAATCACCTTCCTCCTCTACCTAAGTGTAGACTACCTACACGTGATTTTATTGAAGCGATGCTGATTTACACCATCTGAGGTCTGCTGCAGCTTACACTGCAAGGACCAGCACTTTCCCCTGCCATCTGGACAAACACGGTGAAGCAGTATGGATAGATACAACTCCATTTAAAAAATCACAGACCGTCTGGGAACGGTGTCCCTTGTATCTCCTTGATTCCCAGGAACGCAGAGTACAGCCACCCTCCCCTCTGCCATCTTCCAGCTACCTTTGTGCAAGTATTTATATTCCTTTGTAAGAGATGCCAGGCACATGTCCTCATCCGCAGGGAATCTATCGCAGTCCAGACTGTCAGGCCAGGGGTGTCCGTGGCAGGCGAGCACAGGGGCACAGCTGTCACGGACGGCAACACACATACTCCTACAAGGATGGATAAACCTGTCGCCGGAGGAAATACCAGGCTGAATCAGTTAAACTCACTCAGTGATAACAGAAACTATTGCAACAGTGATTTCTGTGCAAAGTACATTGTTTTTGCTGGTATTTAACATCCTTCAACAATAATATAGTTCTAGAAGTGGCAGCTGTGCAAACTATGCAAGTGGTCTGCGTATGGACTGAACTGTGCTTACAGGATTAAGTCACAGTTTTAAAAATGCTTTTATTGCAACCTGAGAAAAGCTTCAGCAAGAGCCTGATTCTATTTGTAATAGGTGCTTCAACCCTAAATTAACAAGAATAAAATTTCAACTGTAACAAAATAAAACATTATATTCTTTGACAACAGCATTCATTTCCCCAAAGCAAACTAAAGTTGAAGTGGAACATGTTTTCAGTACTTTTCTTTCCAATGAGTATGAAAAAGTTAACAGAATTATTTCAGATAAAGTGGAGATCACCTTTAGATTATGATAAACATGCATTTCATTTGATCCCTGTTCTAGCAAATAAAGGCTGGAGTTTTGTACTGTGCTGTGGTACTTACGTATCTAAACAGATGGGCGCAAACAGGGAGCACAGAAATGTCCTCACGTGAGGGTGACAGTCCGTGTGTGCAAGGTGCTGCCAGGTGGTGGATTTTAGGATAACCTCTGCCATGCTTGTGTGTCCCATCAGGTTGGGAAGCCTCATTTCGGAGTACCCTATCTTGTGGCACATGTCCATCTCCGTGGGTATCACTACACATTTCGTGGATAATCCAATGTCAAAGCCTGTTGCCACTCTTAGGAAACCACTCAGAGCAAAAACAAGTATTTTTGCAGTCAAGAGCATCTTCCAGTGACTCCTGGGCTGCCGAGCAGGGAGCTGTCAAACCCCCCAAGCGCAGGGGCACGCTGAAAACCTTGTGGCTTATATACCCCAAGAGCTTAATAAACCATTGGTTATCAACTGCTTATCAAATCACTCTAGACAAGACCAGGTCTTATTGCCTATTCAAGGGATTGTGATAACCAGGGAGGTGGAGACAAAGTATAGAAGTACGTTCCCTAAAGACACCGATTTGGTATAGCCTTTCATGTGTCCCACGGTGACAGTTGCTGCAGCATGCTATGTGGCATATTAAATTTTGACACCTAGAAGGTTTGCTATGTGCTTTCTAAAACAAATTAAGAGATCCCCCAGAAAAACGGTTGGGCAGACAAGCTGTCTCCTGGGGCTGCTGTGTCTCCTTTGTTTTCAGACACTGCTGACAGGGCAGAAAAAACAACCCAGACTGACTTATCAAGTGAAAATGTTTTGCTTGTGCTAATTGCTCGTGTCTCTTCCACTGTTTTACAATGTAGAAGAGGTACTTTCTTTATTTGGTCAAGCTCTACCACGAAAGTCACAGCCTCCCACTATTAACCAAGTATTTTGTCCGGAAATTTGGATCCCTGTCTTATGACATGCTAAAGGTCCCAACTTCTGTTAATTTTAATAGACACCCAAAAATACAGAATTGTTTTACTGATTGGAGTATGTGCCTATCAGATGGCTAACAGAACTCATATCTTTCATTTATTCAAGTTCAGTGGTGGATTTAATGTTGTAGGACTATTGTGGCTATCAGTTTTTATTCAGAATGAAAAGGCAGTTACACATATGGAGAAACATTTTTATTATTTCAGATGAACCCAGCTACGCTTAAAATTGCTCAAATAATGCAGCGTGTCACCTATTTATAATGAATTACAATTACATGAAGCTGTATGAAAGCAAATTATGTGTACCAGATGTGTACTTTTTCTGTTTATAGCATAAAAAATTGTATTAAAATTCTTAAGTTAAAAGTTAACAGAATTACTGAGTGAGTATTTCATTACTGTTCTTAGTATAGTACTGATAAACAGCTCTTCGCTGTAGAGAAGTTGGGGAATCAGTTAAGGTGATAGAGGGTCTGATTAATGTGTAGCTTAACTATTATGAATAGAAAAGTCAGATTATTAGTTAAAAGAGCTGAAGACCTAAACAAAACATTTTGTGGAAATTTTTAATTTGATGAAAACATTTTTCCAATTAGTTGGGGGTGTTAATTTTTATTTCCATTTCTTATTACATGATTTATTAGCAGAAATGTTTAGATATTAATAATACGTAGGTGTATCTACTGTAAAATATTTGGCTTGATTATTAGGCTAAAATGAGTATGTTCACAACAGTGTATCAGCTAGTATTACTGATTATTGAAATACATTTTTGTGCTTATATATTATATAATTTACATGTTTATACCTAAATGTTAGATTATTAATCCTAGCATCTTTGAAATCAATGACAAACTGCCACTGATTCCTCCTCAGCTGCCTTCTTTACTCTAAACTACTGGGAAAATTACAGTATCATCTGTTTAAATAAGTCAGAAAAAAATGACAGGATGCAAAGTTCCAGGAACTAAAGACATATTTAAAAGAATTGCCAGTTTTTCTTTTCATGTTTTGTTGCTAGCTCTGTGTTTTTTCCAATAAACATGGATTCTCTGTATCCGTTATCTCACTTCAAAGCAGAGGAACTCAATACCTAACAAGGCTGATTTAGGCCTGATGAAGCACCTCATGGCAGCATCCCCTTGCCAGGTGCTCTATGTATTCCATAGGAAGGTGAAGAGCCTTACTAAAACTCAGTAGAAGTCCCATTCTTGCTAAATCTATGCAGGTATCCCTGGGGATAGCTGCTCTTGGTACCATTTTGCAACGGAACGAGAGCATGAAGCTGCTCAGCACAGGGAAGAGGGAGACCCGCACATGAAGCCAACTGCGCAGCCTCTTTGAACGGCTCCCCGCCATCATCTGGCTCCCACGCGCGCTCGGAGCGAAGCCGTAAGCCTCACCTCCTGTGCAGGGGCACGGCTGCCCAGCGCGCAGAGCTCAGCTCGCGCAGGCTCCAGACATCTTGCAGACACCCTGAAGTCTCTCACCTGAGCATCACTTTGGCATTCAGCAGCTGGAATGAAACTGGGCTCCATATGAGTGTCCCCCTTATCCAGCAGGCTTCTGCATCCATCCATGTTGCTGATGTCTTTACCAAGTCGCCTCATAATTTTATGAAATTAACCAAATTCCTCTCTGGCCCCAATAGTATTCTTCCACAGTGCTTTTCTCATCTGGTTGCTATCTGAAAGTAGGTGGCAAGATCTCTGGTAAAGGAAGCCCTTCTGTTGCATGTGGGGCATGGTATTACATGCACATTACTGAGTGATATAAAATACATATTAAGAAAGAGTATTTGGTCTCTCAATTATTTAGATGTTTTTCTTTGTGACTGTCTCACAATCTACAAAAAAACCTTGCTTCATCCTAAAACCTGGGTCAACTCTGTTACTCCAGATAATGAGGGGTTACTGAGTCGCTAGCTGTGCCTGTGCCGGCGCGGCTCCGCAAGAACAGGAACGGCCCCGCGGTGCTGCCAAAGGGGCTTGCTCTGCCCCTTCCCACCGCGGAGCGCCTTGCAAACTCCCCGTGCCAGGCCTGTGCTGGGCCGAGCGCCGGCTGCACCCGAGACCAGGCGTGCTGGGTTGTGGTACGGCAGGTCTGATTTTGAGAGCTCCCTCTGGGCCACCATTGATGGACAGAACAGAGACAGGCATAACGAGAGCGTGTGAGGCGAAGATGGTCTAGTAAGAGCTAATACCTCTCCCGACAAACTTAGTCTCCGTAGGAACTGTCTTGAAATAAATAATTGTGTATCTCTGTGTCACTGTTTCCTACAGGGGCTTCGCAGGGGGTAGGTCATTTGTGAGCCACTGCAGAGCTGTGCCTTAAAGTTTCTTTTAGCCTCAGATACGTCTCAAAGGAGGCCAGCTATCTTTTGATGCTTTGCTTTTGACCCACTTTCAGTGGGTCATCATTTTATAATGCTAAAGAAGATTATTTTTCTCCGTGTGAGTACAGTGGCATCTTTGGAGGCCGAGGGCCCAACCACGCGGGAGGGTGCAGGCCTCCGCGGGTCAGGGAGGAGCTGCAACCACTGCTCGGCCACACCTGGCCTGGTGCTTCAGCGGGGAGCCCAGGGGATTCCAGGCCGTGGGGGAAACTCCATGGTTTTGCCATCAGAAGAAGGGCAAGCCATCTGCTTTGCTTCTGTTTCTTTTTGTTTTCTTGCTGTTTTGAGTCAAGTAGCCATTCACCCAGGGAACAGCAAGACTTTTTGTGTTTGTCAGGAATGACAAAGCTCACTTGAGGGCTGAGGGATCGTCACCAGCTCCAAGAAGAAAATGTGCACAAATGCCTTTGCTTGACACCAATGACTACATTGGGTTTAAGGCTGGATCTGAAGCCAGAGCATCATCCGTAATTCCGTCATTTCTGCTAGCCGTCTTCCGTCAGGAAAGAGCGTCATTTATGGGAGCTTCTGATCCTCTCTCTTCTGACAGTCACTGGGTTCAAGATGTTAGCTGGGTCAAATTCCTTACCCTGTGCCATTTTCAGTGTCATCATTTACTAAGGAATTTGCCGATTTGACACTTCTTTTCGCTATGTTCACAAGCTTTTAAGCAAGGGAATGACTTTGGCTGTGCTTCTGTTTAGGCTTAATTATTTTTATGTTCTTCATGAGCAGATGCTACCTTGAAACTTGGTTTGACAGCAAGTCATTATCATTTATCATTTTTAGCAGGAGTCTTGCAGAGCCATTATTAAAAATGAACATACGAAGTAGATTGCCATTGCTTGGAGAGCGCTTCAGGTCAGTCAGATGTCGGCTCCTTGGCAGAAGTGTGAGCTGCAGCACCCATGTTGCTGTGCCACAGATTCTCCATTTTTGCAAACGCTCAGCTGCTCATTGACATGGAAAAAAACGTCAGGCAAATATACACAGAGCTTGCTTTTGGGAACAGAGTAAACTGTGATTTTACTGTTGCCACAGCAGCTAAACATTCAAATTACACAAAAGCTGGCGGGGCCTCAATATTTCTAATCGTAGTGATATATACTTGCAGAGGTTGCTTGTATAAAGACTGTCTAAAGTGAAAAAAAAAAATTAGTTTAGCAAACTATCATGAGAATTGCAGTGTCTGCGTACATTTTGAGTGGGCAGCGTAAAATACAAGACCTGAGCGTTTAGAGAAACTTCCGTCTCGAAGTCTGGAGTCCAGCTAATGCTCTTTGAAACTTCTGAAGAAAGCTGCGTGGTTGTTCCCTTGGCCACAGGCTGTATTTATTGGTCCTGGATATGAGCAACGGTCACCTGCTGACGGATCCTGATAACAGGAGGATCAGGAACAGCGGCTGGAGGCTCGCTCCCTGCCCACCTCTGTGTCGTCTCCTTTGACTGTCACCAGGGAGACAGACAGAGATTAACCAGGAGCCACACATCAGACCCCAGTAAGAAATGGGGCTGAATTTTTCTTCAAAGAAAGTAGGGGTTTGAGCGCAAACTAGCAGATGTAGGGATTTTTGGTTTTAATCTAAACATATGTTGCAATATTCGGCTGGAGTAATTTTTATGTGAAGTCTAATTGCAGAGATGCAAAGCTCTCAGACAAGGATCAAAGCTGTTAACTGTGCACCCCGAGTCGCAAAAGGAGGCTGGGGAGTGGTGGTCATCACTCTGATGACAGCTTTGCTGGACCAACATCCTTACTCTCTGAGGCAGGATTTATTTCATAACGTTTCCTTTGCTGTATTAAAAAAACAGTTAGGCATGAATGGTATCTGTAAAATAGTGGAGGAAGCATCATAGATGGTTTTGAAAAAGCCTCGTTGATGTATTCATCACAAGGGCTTTAGCATTGCTTTAATTTCTAAAAAACAGAAATACTGTATTTCCTTGTAAATCTGTAATGCAAATAGTTAAAGGCATGCAAATAGTTAAAGGCTCATTGCCCTGGC